AAAAAAAAAAAAAAAAAAAAAAAAAAAAAAAAAAGAATGGTGACCATTTTCTAGATGTGTGTGGTAAGTGGGAGGGCCTTCCCCACAGGGAATGGCAGGAGTCAACTTAGTATTCTGTCAGTGGAGAGCTTAGCTGCCAGCCCTTCCCGAAGAGTCACATGATGTACTGTAGTGTCATTGAGTTGACCTGTGGTGGAAGGACCTGTATGGTGGCTCAAAAGTACTAATACTGATTGTGAATGTGACCGCAGCAGTAGCTGCCTTTGCAGACTGTAGAGCTGCTTTAGAGGCACGTGGCCAGCCAGATGGGCAACTCTCTGCCTGTGTTCTCGTTTGCATCTTTGAGTGCCAGGGGTAGGGGAATCCATCTAAGCAGCGCACCCTTGCTTAGCCCTCTCCAGGGGAGAGCAGAGGTGGGCAGAAGTCAGGATCACGCAGCCCTGAGTGTTCTCCTGTGCGTGGCTGCAGCAGGCTGTTAGCCGCACTCGTAAGAGGTTGTTTGAAGCTTGCTTACACGTGTTTCCATAGCAGCAGTCGTCTCAGCATTTCCACTGTTTTTTAGACCGTCTCCCTCTTCCCCTTGGCTTCAGTGTTTCCTCGTTGATGCAAGATTAAGCAAGCCGCATATTTGGGTCAAGGAGAGCGATGTTTGCTAATAGAGATGCTGGGCGCAGCATTCTGGGAGAGTGACTTCCCACGGCACAGGATCCTTTGTGCCTCCAGCAGCATCTGCAGCAGGGTGGCTGTCTGGCACTGTTTCTTTCATTTTGGGCAGGTTGTGAGGCTCAGAGCCATCCCCGGCAAATTCGAGGAGCCCCACTTTCCCACCAACCCCAGGTTAATGTTCTGCACGTTTGTTCTCTGTGTGGCAGGGAAGCAGCTCAACGGAAGAAAACAGTGCTCTCACCGTCTTGTACATCTGAGGTGTGTCATCTTGCCTTTGCGCCTCCCACCTCCGTGCTTTACACAGGGAGCTTGGATTTTTTTTTTTCTTCTGTCAGGCTGTTGGGCAGGACCGGATTCTAGTGTGACAGTTTGGCACTTCCCTTCTGCTCGGTGCCGGTAACTGCTTGTCATGAAGATGGTAGAGTGGGAGCCTGTGTCTGAAGAGCCAAGGAAGCTGATGTGGAGATGGAGTAGAGATTTCTAGAAATCTGAACGTCCACACCTTGGGGATGGGTTGCACGACCAGTGTGATTCTCTTCAAAGGCATCCGCACCGTTTTTGAGAGAAACTGTTCGTACATGTGCAAGCAGCAAGGGGAAAGTAATGCCCTTGAGTACACGGCATACAGCTGGTCAAAAGAAGACTCAGATCTATTGATCTCCTCCTGCCTGGTAAAATGCCATCTCATTTAATTAACAAGTGCTTAATGGTGTTAGCCTAACGCTAGCCTTTAGCTGCAGAGCACCTCTTGTCTATTTCAGCATGCTGATGTGTGTGTGTGTAATGTGCATATATTGTCTGTATAAATGAGTAACCAGTGACCTTAGATTTAAAATCTGAAGCACCTATTTGGATGTGTGAGGATGCTATCTATGTATCAATGAAGACAAGCGTTAATTGTGTTTATGAGACTAGTTCTCTAAGGCAGTTTTACGGGCTTCTGGGGTCCTGGAATAGTCTTAGCAATGATATGTAGCAAAGTGCACATTGAGACATTCACATGTGACCCCCTTTCCTAGTAATGGTGAATTATTCAGCCTCTCTATTTCTTAGCCTTTTACTTGGCTTGTCTTACTAATGGCTGTGGTCAGTGCTCTCATTCAGGAAATGTAAAGAGATCATGAAAGAAAACTGTACTGGACACGAGGCAAATATTTATAATATTATTTTCTTAAAACTCAACTCTAATGTTTGTGAGTGAAGGGTCGTGAGAAAGAGCTGAGTTTGACCTGGCGCTTCTGTGTTCTGCCTGTGCTTGAAGAGGCGTCAAGTCACAGATGGGTGTGCCTCTCGGTGACCTCCTCTTCCACAGCAGGCTGTGAGGAAGCACATATTGGCCACCCCCTCCCTCAGGATGCCTTGCCATTTTCCCTTCTGTTCCCACCGCAGTTTTTGTTGAAATGAGTGGGGACAAGTACGTGTGAGAATTTGTGTGTGAGCCTTGCTGGCGGTTGCCCAGTCGGGCGAGGCACACAGGAAGGCAGGGGCGCTTCAGCACCAGGGAGAAGCTGCCGCGTGAGCAGGGGGTGCACCGTATGCACCTTGGGGTTGGATCTGCAGGAGCCCAGGGAGGGGATGCGTTTTGTGGAGGGGCTTATGTGATTAGCACTCGGAAGACTCAGGAGGAAGAAGGGAGACGTCATGTGAGATGTCAGAGCAGCTTGGAAGTCAGTGTTATATTTGGTACCGACTGTAAGTGGTGCTATATTAACTGTTGAATATTTTAAGCTCTGCTGCATTTTGAAATATCCTTTGGAGAATAGCAGATTAGAAGGACTAGCCCATTGCTCTTCTCTGCCCTATCACCCACTCGGAGTCAGCAAGCAGCCTAGGACCTTAGCTGGGCTAGCCAGGGTGGTGCTCCCACCTCGTGCGTAGGCTTGTGCTCCTTGGGCGGTTTACCTGGCTTGAAGAGACTCCGCCTGCTTTTCTTTTCCTTTGGCTGCACAGGACAGTAGTAACCTGCCTCTCGTGTTGTCAGACCTCAGGGCCTGGGTTTCTGACACACTGTTCCCGTACCATGTGAGCCACGGCTGGCCACCAAGATGCTGCTGAGTTCAAAGACCCCAGTGGGCTTCCAGCTCGGTCCGTGCTCCCAGATCCCCTTCGCACACGTCAGGCAGAGCCAGTCTTTGGAAATGGAAGTCAGGCCATGGTATTCCTCTGCTTAGGACCTTCCAGTAGCTCAGAGTCAAATGCAGAACCCATGCAGAGGTCTCCACAGTGGGGCCACCCACCACCACACACTTCCTCTGCTACCCCTGGTCACTTTTCCCTTTGTCCTTCTCAAGCTTCGCCTCACTCTGGCCTGGAGGCCTCCTGGGGCATTGCCATCCGCGTCTTGTGTGGCTCTTGCCTGTGTTCTCCTGGGGCTCAGTGAGTCACCCATAAATGCCCCCGTTAGCCCGCAGCACCCCAGCAAGCCCTGCCCATGGGCACTCCCTTGGGTCACCTCCATGTAAAGGGAGCCTGACCTAATCTTCAGACCATGTGGGTCCTTGTTGGGGTCCCCAGCTTTGGGAAGGTGTAGCTCTGGTGATGCCTCCAGCTTGTGACTCTGCCTGAAGTGTCAGCAGGTGACAGCTGAACTTCCCTACCTTAGAATGCCACCTCACCCTAACCGCCCAGTGCACACCAAGGGCGTATGCTGTTTGTGTTGGCATAGGCTGACGACCTGAGGGCCCCTAATCCTAGAGACTAGGTATCCCTGGTGTCTGCCCAACAGCCAGAGAGCCTCATGCCTGCACAGCCTCATTTGGGTCTCAGTGAAATTTCTTCCTCTGAACCAAGTTGCGCTTTCTCCCATCTGTATTGAAGCACACTGTGAAAGTGATGCTCGCTCTAAGTCTGGTTTGCTGTAGGTCAGTGAGAGGCAGGGTAGTACATCAAGGGGATCTACGGAGATGGCTTGTAGATGCAAGTTTTTCTGTGTCCCGCCCGGTCCCACAGCTGCACGGTCGGTCCCAAGTAAACACACAGAGGCTTATATTAATTATAAACTGTATGGCCTATGGCTCGGGCCTCTTGCTAGCTAGCTCTTTCATCTTAAATTAACCCATTTCTATTCGTCTATATGTGTGGCCATGGCGTTACCGGTCTGCTGCCATCTCGTTGCTCCTTGGGCGGTGGGTTGGCCTCTCTCCTCCAACTCCACCCTTCTTCATCTCCATCTTCTGTTTGAATGTCCCACCCAACCTTATTCTGCTTTGCCATTGGCCAAACAGCTTTATTTATCAACCAATGAGAGCAACACATATTCACAGCGTACAGAGAGACATCCCCCAGCAGTGGCTCAGTGGTTAAAAGTGCTTGCTGTTCTCGCAGAGGACCAGAGTCTGGTCCTTAGCACCCATCCTGTGGCTCACAACTTACCGTAACTCCAACTCCAGGGACTCTGAGGCCTCTTCTGGCCTAGTTAAACATCCACATCCACATGTGCATGCTTGTACATAGACACGCATGCATATATACATTAATAAAATATAATTTTTAAGGGGTGTGATTCTGGAGCCAGCTTTCAGTTTTTATGACCCAAATCCATTACTAGCTGTGCATTACTAGATGTGGGCGGTTTGCTTCATCTCCCTGCTCCTCATTCTCATCTGCTAAATACAGGTAAAATGGTACTTACCACGGGGACATAAATGAGTGACTTGTCCAAGGTTCTTAGGACACTGTCTGCATTGTAAGTAAAGTGCTAATTCTAAGTGATTGCTTTGTTGCTGGGTTTGGGGGTTTGTTTGTTTGTTTTTCTGGTTTTTGGTGTCCTTTTTATGGCAAGCCTGAAAGAATTTCTTTCCCCCGTATTCTGAGTGGTTGTGCTTTCCTGAGTAATAGCATAAGTGTGTGTGTGCATGCGAGTGTTTGTGTGTGTGCATTTGTGATGTTTTGAGACAGAGTCTGTCTGTCTGGCCTGGCACTTGCTTTGCAAACCAGGCCGTTTCTCACAGATACAACTGCCTCAGCCTCCTGAGTGCCATTTTAAAGGAATGCATCACCATTTCAAACTTTTTTTTGAGACAGGGTTTCTCTATGTAGCTGTAGCTGGCCTGGAACTGTCTCTGTAGACCAGACTGGCCTCAAATTCACAGAGATCCACCTGCCTTTGCCTTCTGAGTGCTGGGATTAAAGGCATGCCCCCCCCCCCCCCAGTTACTTTTTTAAGGTTTTTAACTGGGCCGAAGCTGATAGTTTCAAACTCCTGAGAGACCTTTGACCCTCACCACTCTGACAGGTGGAACTACCAGGATTCTTAAATTGGTGTTAAGTCTCGCTTCTTATTTCCTGATCATCATTTATGACCGTATGCTTGTCCCATCTGCTTATTTTGATCTTATGAGTGTGAGTCACTTTTTGGAAGAAGGCAGCATGTAAATTAGCAAGCAGAGAACTATACAGTGCTGAAAAAGCCTCTGTGATCATGGGGAGGATTGTGAAGCTGAGCACAGATATTCGGAGTGCCGTCTTCAGCTCTGTAAAGTCGGGGGGTGTTCGGCCTCTCCTGGGAGGCTCTGTTTCTATTTAAACAATGAGGAATCAGCTCCATGGAGGGTGGTGCCCTGGAAAATGAACTTATCTGGTAAGTGTAGAATGATTGAATTTCAAATATATCCCACTTAAATATCTATGTGTTTATGTTCGTGTGTGTGGCTGCACGTGCGTGCTGGAGTGCCTGTAAATGTGTGGGTGTACCAGCATGTGGGGTCTAGAGAACAGACTCAGGTGCGTTCCTGAGGCACTGTCTGCTTCGATGTTTGTTTTTTGAGACAGGATCTCACACCAGTGTATTTATATCTAAAACATGGTTCTTGGCATGAAACTCAGTTCCTCTGCTTCCAGCGTCTCCCCAGCCTTATCCCATTTAAATGTTGACTGCTGAGTCAAGCAGAGTTGATGTGGAAGATGGAGTTGGGATAGATCTCATTCTTGAGTATAGATTTTTCCTCAAGCATTTTTGCTTTACAAAGCAATTGGATGAATTAGTTCACTACACCGGGGAGTTTGTCTTGATTGCTTGTTTGTGCTGGGTATGAAGCAGCTGTGGGGCTGCTTGCATCGACGTTGCTGGGAGGCTAGTGTGAGGGCCGCACAGGTTCCCGCTGGCTGGGAAGCCAGTTAGTCTGCGCCTTCCACAGAGCCAAGACTTAAACTGCAGCAAAGCATTGCCAGTTCCGCTTCCATGGTCTGAGAAAGTCCCATTTCACTCATGGCCAACATGGCCATATTTTACTTCCTTTCTGGAATTGTGGAAGAATTGAAAACCTAATGTGTTGTTCTGTGGTATATTCTGTTTCTGGTGATTATAGCTGAGGTGAAAGAGGCTGGTCAGTTAGAACCGTGATTGCTGCCGCATGCTAGGGAGTAATTCAGAGGCAGACTGCTTAAAGAGTACAAATGGAGGAAAAATGATCGGTCTTCAATTGCTGTTGGTGCGTGCATGCGTGTCTGTCTGTCTGTCTGTCTGTCTGTCTGTCTGTGTCTGTGTGTCTGTTCCTGTGTGTACATGTACTCCTGCACGTGTGGCAGCTAGAGGAAAACGTTGGTGTCCTTCTCAGAAACACGGTACAGGTCGTTTGAGACCGGTTCTCTCATTGGCTTGGCGCTCACCAAGGCCAGCCTGGCCCGTGACCCCTGTATCCCTCTTCAGTGCTAAGTACCAGTGCTCCTGCCA